ATGGCCCTGCTCTTGACTTCCACTCGTGACAATTATAACTGTGTTACCTATATACCTTCAAAGACAATACAAGCTTCAAACTATATGTAAAATAAAAGAGTATTCTTGGAACAAGGGATCTGGAATATTCTCAGCCTTTCTACATGCGAAGGGAATGCTCATTGAGCTACATCCCATGCTTCTTTACTTCTATGACATTCATTAATCCATGCCACTGATACCAAAAAATAATGATACGAGCCGGAAACGATATACAAAAAAGTTTTCTTGGGGACCAAAACCCTGGCCTTTCATTAAAGCAGAGCGCTCTACTCTGAGTTGTCCCACGCTGTTTGGCTTCGCATGATATTACCATCCAAAAGCATTCTGCACTCAAAAATACGACAGATAACAGAGCCGGAAACATCGATATAAAATAAAAGTTTTCTTGGAGATGGATTCAAACTCTGCCGTTACATTAAAGGAATGCCTCTACCTCTTGAGCTATCCCAGTTTTAGGCTTCCTCGCATGAATCCATTAATCTGGCCATCGGCACTCAAAATACACGAGCTGAAACGATCAGGCCAAAAGTATCTGAGACATGGGGATTAGAACCCGGGTTCACATGCGAAGTAACGCTCCACCTCAAAAGGCATCCCTCATGTTTTTTGGCTTCTTCAGCGATACATCTATTAATCCGTGCCTTCCACACATCTACAAATAATATCTGTTTTGGAACGATCTGTAACAGTGAGCCTGAGATACGGGGATTCAAGAAACCTCGCCTTTCATGGAAGAGAACGTCACCTCTGAGCTACATCCCCATACCTTGGCTTCCTGCATGAAACTCTTTATCCAAAATATCCACATGCTCAAAGTACAATATGTTTAAACGATTCGTTAAAAGAGAGAAGCCAAGAACTGGCCTTCCATGCGAAGCGAACGCTCTACCTCTGAAGGCCACAGCCCCATGCTCTTTCCTCACTCCGACATTCATTAATCCGTGTGCACTTCCTGACTCAAAATACGATACGAAGGCCGGAAAACAAATTGTAACAAAATAAAGTTTTGAGATGCGGGGATTCAAAACGGGCCTTCACATGGCGAGCGAAACGTTCTTCACTTCTGAGCACATCCCCAGCCGCTTTCGGCGTCCACGTCGATGACATTATTAATCCGTGCACTTTCCTGCTCAAAATAATACGACCTGTTCGAAAGGATATGATAAAAAGGCGATTCTGGTGTGAATGCGTGAACTCCGGGCTTCTTTCTACAAATGCAAGAACAGCCTCTACCTTCTGAGTACCCATGCCTTCGGTATCCATCGCTGACAATTCATTAATCCATGCTTTAAACGCCTGCAAAACACAATAAAAAAACCGGGAAATGTTTTAAATTAAAAAAACTATATTTTGAGATGCGAACCTGTACTACATGCGACACGTTCTACCTCCAGCAACTTCCTCTATGCTCTTTAAACCTATACGTGACAATCATTAACTTCTGCTTACCTACACTAAAATAATATACGAGTTTAAACGATCTGTAAATAAAAAAGGCTCTGGAGATACTGCATCCAACCGGCTTTCATACATGCGAAGAACGTCATTCTCTGAGAGCTATCACCATGCTCTGATCTACCTATAATTATATTAATCCGATACCATACTACAGAATAATAAATACCAGCTCATAAAACCATGTACAAAAGAGTATTTCCTGGAACGCGGGGATTCGAACTCCTGGCATTTTCACATGCTAGAAGGAACGTCACCTCTGAGCTACAACCGCTTTTGACTCCTTGACATCCCCATGTTTTGGCTTCCATCGTGACACCATAACCGCCACTTCTATGCTAAAAAGAATACAAGCTCAAACTATATGTGTAACAAAAGAGTATTTTTGAACGTGGGGATTCGAAACATTGGGCGTTTACAGTAGTGGTTCGCTCACTTCTGGCTACATCTCATTCCTTCTCTGGAATATGACATTCATTAACTGTCCACTTCCACCTAAAAAAATACGATGAGCTGGAAACGATTCCAAATACTGTGCATTGGAGATGTGGGGATCTGAACTGAAGGCTGTAATTCATGAACGCTCTACCACTGACTACACCCCCATAGCGTTTTTTTGGTCCTTCCGACATTCATTGCTCATTGCCATGCCACACCTGCCATCACATCAAAATACGATGCACTGCAAACCATCTGTAAAATAAGTATTCTTAGAGAAGGACTAAGCGAACTCCTTAACTTTACATCTGATTACATCCCCATGCTCGCTGGTCCCACGCGGGCCAACCTTAAAACCATACAGTTTCAACGGCACAAATTAAGATAATAACGTTGAAAACTATTACAATAAAAGAGCAATCTTGGAGAAGGGGATCTGAAACGGGCCTTTCAAGACATGGAATGTCCGAACGCTCTACCTGTGAGCTACATCCCCGCGCGCTTTGGCTTCCACTCTTGACAAACATTAATCAATGACACTTTCAGGCTGGAAATTTTAAAACGGTCTGTAACAAAAGAGTATTTTTGGAAATGCGGGGATTCGAACCACGGGCCTTTCACATTCGAAGCGAACGCTCTTCATCCGAATGCGCTTTGGCTTCCAATCGTGACAATTATTAATCCGTGCCACTTCCATGCTCAAAGAATAATACAAGTTCGAAACGATATGTAACAAAAGAGCATTCTTGGAAATGCGGGGATTCGAACCCCGGGCCTTCCACATGCGAAGCGAACGCTCTACCTCTGAGTCCACATGCGCTTTGGCTTCCACTCGTGACAATTATTAATCCGTGCCACTTCCACACTCAAAATACGATACGAGCCGGAAACGATCTGTAACAAAAAGTATTCTTGGAGATACGGGGATTCGAACCCCGGGCCTTTCACATGCGAAGCGAACGCTCTACCTCTGAGCTACATCCCCATGCTCTTTGGCTTCCTCGCATGACATTCATTAATCCGTGCCACTTCCACACTCAAAATACGATACGACCTGGAAAGGATCTGTAATAGAAGTGTATTCTTGGAAATGCGGGGATTCGTAGCCAGGGCCTTTCATATGCGAAGCGAACGCTCTACCTCTGAGTTCACATGGGCTTTGGTATCCACGCGTGACAATCATTAATCCATGTTGCTTAAACGCTCAAAATACAATAAAAACCGGAAATGTTTTGTACCAAAAAACTATTTTTGGAGATGCGAACCCAGGACATTTCACATGCGACACAAACGCTCTACCTCCTAGCAACTTCCCCATGCTCTTTGGCTTCCACACGTGACAATCATTAATCCTTGCCACTTCCACACTCAAAATACGACACGAGCCGGAAACGATCTGTAACAAAAAGTATTCTTGGAGATACGGGGATTCGAACCCCGGGCATTTCACATGCGAAGCGAACGCTCTACCTCTGAGCTACATCCCCATGCTCTTGACTTCCACTCGTGACAATTATTAATCCGTGCCACTTCCATACTCAAAGAATAATACAAGCTCGAAACTATATGTAACAAAAGAGTATTCTTGGAAACGCGGGGATTCGAACCCCGGGCCTTTCACATGCGAAGCGAACGCTCTACCTCTGAGCTACATCCCCATGCTCTTTGGCTTCCTCGCATGACATTCATTAATCCGTGCCACTTCCACACTCAAAATACGATACGAGCCGGAAACGATCTGTAACAAAAAGTATTCTTGGAGACTCTGCATGTGAAGCGTCGGTGTTCTGAATCTCGCTTTAAAAAATGCTCTTTGTTAGCTATATAGTTTCGAGCTTGTATTATTCTTTGAGCATGTAAGGGGCACGGATTATCATCAATTTAACGAGTGGAACGAAACGCATGGGGATGTAGCTCAGAATTAGACGTTCGCTCGCATGTGAAGGCCCGGTGAAACCCGCATCTCCAAGAATTATTTTGTTACAGATCTTTCCGGTTCGTATGTATTTGCAAGTCGGAAGTATTAATGAATGTCATGCGAGGAAGCAAAGAGCATGGGCAGCAGGTAAGAGAGCGTTCGCTTCGTGTGAAAGGTCCGGTGTTCGAATCTCCGCTTTAAAAAAATTCTTTGTTACATATGTTTCGAGCTTGTATTATTCTTTATGACAGAAGTTACTTGGATTATATAATAATTCTAACGAGTGGAACCGAAAACGCATGGGATGTAGCCAGAAGGAGTTCGCTTCTGCAGTGAAAGGCCCGGATTCGAATCCCCGCATCTCCAAGAATTATTTTGTTACAGATCTTTCCGGTTCGTATCGTATTTTCAGTGCGGAAGTGGACACGGATTAATGAATGTCATGCGAGGAAGCCAAGAGCATGGGGTGTAGCCCAGAGGTAGAGTTGCTGCTTCGCCGTGAAAGGCCGGTGTTCGAATCCGCGTTTAAAAAAAATCTCTTTTGTTACAATAGTTTCGAGTGTATTATTCTTTGAGCATAGAAGTGGCACGGATTAATACACGAGTGGAAGCCGAAACGCATGGGGATGTAGCTCAGAATAGAGCGTTCGCTCGCATGTGAAAGGTCCGACGAACTCCCGCATCTCCA